TATTGTATTTTTAATATGGATCAACATAATACTATTATTGCATGTAAGTTTACTCTCTCTCTCTCTCTCTCTCTCTCTCTCTCTCTCTCTCTATATATATATATATAAAATCTAACTAATTCCATAATAATGAAACTGAAAGATGGACAAGATTGTGCAAATTACAAAATATTAAGGTTGAGCATGGCTAGTCGGCTACCTTATGAGAGCTAATTAAGGTCCTTGAGTTTTGTTTAGAATAATGCAAGGAAAATTAAATTTCTAAACTGAATTTTGTAACTGTTAATGATTGGATTATTATTTTAGTGTTGATTAACGGCTTAATTTTTATTGGTAACACGTCATTTAGTTTGCAAATTTAATTTAAAATTTTAATCTCTCTATCATTATCCTTTTGTTTAGGACGTACACGCATGTCCTAATTGAGGAAAGGAAGTATATAAAACGACACAACTAACTTGCCTCCTACAAAGAGTACAGTTTGGTGCCTGTAAAATTGGCTTTGGACATTAAATTATTAACTTATCTCAATTTGCTTCCTACAAAGAGTACCACAAGCTTTGGAAACTATAATTATTATAACATATGGCAGTTTTATTACTAGTACGACTACATTAGCCAAAGAGTGATCAGTGAAGAGTGATGGGTTAAAAGTTTTAATTCCAAATTCTACACTAAGCTACAACATTAGCCCAAGTGTGATATGTGAGTATGCAGACTATTGGCTTGACACCTGGATATAACCTGCTCTGATAAGTCTCAAGATCATTTTAACAATTAGATATAACATTTTGCTTGTTGGCTTGGAATTCACTCTCTCAAGAGTAAACACGCAAACTGAAAAGCACATTTGGATTGAGTGATTCAAATTTAGGAATTCAGGTAACATAATGAGATAAATTGTTTGTTTAGACTGTCAATCTTTGCTACGATTTGGAGAAGAAAGAAATGAACGAAACAAACGGATTTCAAATGATTCTTTGCATGTAGTAATTTCAAACAAATTCATTTAAAAGGCACTCCATATATATAACTAATTCTAGCAAATACATCTTGCTAGTTCTTTCAAACACATAGGTAGAACAATCATTTTGATGGGTAGAATTGAATTTTATTTATTATAAAAAGGCAATATCTTTGTTTTTAAAGAACATCCATAGTGACGTTAAACTTTTATTACCAATTTCGTTAGTTCAAATAAGTGATTAAACGAGAAGAGTACCGCCTTCACATCACATTATTGAAATTAAAGTTCAGAAAAAAAATTGACAGCAAATAGAGAATTCAAAATTTTTAAAAATCGAAAGAGAATTGAAAACTTCTTGTCGTTTTTTCAAATTATTAAAAGGCGTGAACAGTTTAACCAGCATGGATAAGGTCATAGACTCATACGTAATGTACTGGCTCTGAAAGGGGAGACTGAGTCATTCCCTGCCCTTTAACGTTTACCTTGGCGGTTTACCCTGTACTATTCTTAGCCAAACATACCCTCCAACTTTAACAGGTTTTGCATGTGCTATTCTGGTAATTCTGCTATACTTGTCGTCGTTCTTTTTACTTAATTTTTTTTTTTAATTCTTTTTCTCTCCTTTTATTAGGGTCAATTGTTAGGAGTAGGATTATCTTTCTTCTTTTTTCTTTTTCTCGTAAGGCACGTTAACAACATATATTAATTTTATATAAAAAAGAAAAACAAAATAAAGAATGCGAGAGAATGGATAAAAGAGGATGAAAGAGAAGACAGATAATTTTAATCCCAAATGTTATACTAGTCTGAAAAGGCCAAAGCCCCTGTGTTTGTACGGAGCAGAAGATTAAAAGTAATAATCAATTGCTTTTTTTTTTTTTTTTTTTTCAAATAAGATAATTCTAGAAGCGCAAGTGATTGAAAAAGTTTTCTTTTAAAAAATGTTAAATACACTTTACACTTAAGATTTTAACATCAAAATCATTTATGTTGGAATCAAATTTGCACATACCCGTAAACGGAGGCCAAATTCATTAGGATTGTCCATCCGACGAGGAGAGAATGGGGTTGATGGGTGGGGGTGTGTGGTTGAATCCAAATTGGATTGCCTACTTATCTCTAGGAAGGAGAATTAAACCACGGGTGTAGTTCTAATAAACAATGGTGTGATGTGCAAAACATCGTGAACCATTCTTGACGAATAGCCTATGGCAAGACGTTTTAGGAAATGAGTTCTTCATGGACATGTGTACGCATCGATGGTGACGTGTATGCAGGATGATCCTATATCAGGCTTAAAGAGAATATAAGAGACATGTATCTTCTAATGTGATTGATTAGAGAATCCAGAATCAAGTCCCTTGATAAATACCCAGGCTAGAGTATTTATAGATCTTGAGAGTCGTTGTAGGGAAGTAATCACCATTAAATCGGGAGATTATCTAGGAGATATCAAATTCTCTTTTGATTATGATTTAGTTGCCTAATTCTCATTATATTCTAATTTGACTTGAGTTAGGGTTTCCTTACTTGGGAGACAATTAATATCTTTAAGAGGCCTTAAGCCTAGCTTGCCAGACTAAGGATATCTGACTACGCTCCAGGGGCAATAGGCGTTTTGGCCATTCTTGCCACCCGAGGTGCCATGTGTCATGGCCCTAGAAAATCATGGCCCAAAATTTGCAAAAATAAGTCACCAAGTTTTAGTTTTGGCATATTACACCACGTCCACCTCCTTATGTGCTCTACAGACGACCACCTCTCCAGGTGCTCTACAAAGGACCACCTTGCAGGTGCTCTATAGATGACCGCCTGCCCAGGTGCTTTACTAATAACCACATCCCTAAGTGCTCTATAGACGACAACCTCCCCAGGTGCTTTACAGACAACCACATTTTAAAGCGCTCTACGAATAGACACCATTGAATGAAGACCCATTGACCAAGACTAGATATTTATTAGGAAGGTAGCATTGGTCTATGTAAAGGAAAAGAGGATGAAGGAGAATGAGGTCTAACGGGATGGGGAAAACCTTATAAAGGAAAAGAGGATGAAGGAGAAGGAGGTCTAATGGAATGGCGAAAACTTACTATTCTTGGGTTTTCCACATGCCAATTCAAAGCTTTGAGTCATTTGATGCAACATTTGTAACCTCACACAAATATATATACAGATTACAGTGGATGTAGTCCTAGTCTATGGGTGTCCCCTATATATTTTTGTGTTCATCCTACTATTAATCTTGACCATATCTTCGAAGTTAACTTTATGATTGATGATCGTTAACCCGCGACCATCTAAGGTTGACCTCCTAATTTTGAGCGTTGACAGTTGTGGCATACACTGAGCTCACATTTTAATATTTTATGTAGAAGTTAACTGCCAATTTCATAAAAAGGTTAAAAGAGTAAAGTACTAAAAATTGAAATTAGTAGTTAACGAGTGCTTAAATGTGAGCCAAGTCCATGCCACACCAACACTTAATTTCTAATTAGATGGTGATTGATAGAGAGGTTAAATCTGTGTCTCCTAGAGATATAAAATGGGATGTAAATATAGTTTTTAATTCTCAAAATTGCATCTCACAATAGAAGATGGTGATGTTTTCTTTTACTATGAAAGCTAATGTTAAATAAGGGATCCATGAAAACGAAATAAAAATTCATCTCGATCTTCTTGGTTAAATGCTAAACGGTTGGTATAGTTAGTTTGGGCTGGTGGTTCGCATGGAGGGAGGATAGACGTGAGGTTCTTCACACAATCGGTAATTACAATTTGTATAAAAAAAACACTGCTCCTACCTAAACTCTCTCCTTCAAGACTAACCACAATTTGCGTGAACCTTGCATAAACTTTGGTACATTATCTAAATTCTTCATTAATAAAAAGGAAGTGAATCTCACACATATTTTTTTTAATTTCTTACACACCCGTCTTTAATTCTAGTCATTGAGCTGATTAAATTAAAAAAAAGCAACAAACATGATTGAATAGATGCTTATAAAAAGCTAAAAATGGTGTATGTTTCCCGTCAGAACACTGATAAAATTTTCAAAGAATGTATAGCTTAAACCTTACGTAGTTAAGAATTATTCACCTTTGCACCAAAAATTTTATGTTCGATCTCTTCCTCCCTCTCCGTCGTCACTTGTCTAAATGAAAATACTAAACAAATCAAATATTAACGTTGTCATAATCTTTTTTTTTAGGTATCATAAAATGAAGAAAGAGAAAAGGATGCAAAGAAACAAGGGGAAATTAAAAACGAAGAAAGAAGCCTTTTTTCAAGTGGCAAAAAGTTTCTTGAGGCCAAAACAGAGGGAGACAATGGTCTGCTTGGGTCCCACGGCTCTAACTTTTGTCTTAAACGTGCAAAAAAGTGAATGCGATTATTTATAATTATTCAAGATTTTTTTTAATAATAACAAGCAAATAACGAAGAAGCCATGAAGTCTAAAAAAATTCTGATCTCTTGCGGAAAAAATGACCATAGTGTTTTCTTCTTCATTAGAAATTACGAAATTTTCATTCGTTTTGTATGAAATTTATTTTCTGATAAAAGTTAATTGGGAAAATCCTTACAAAACCAATTTTATTTCTCTCTTCAATTACAAGATTTAAATATAAATACATAACAATGAACGGAAAACTAAGCAATTAGGGAGAATGAGGCATTGGTAGTTTGCCCTTTCTATTGCACTCGCATATCAATTTCCTTCTTCTTATAATAACTAGTATTACAGTATTAGTATTTCTCTTTATTTATAAATAAAAAATTTATATTCGAAGTTTGTAGGTCACAAGGTTGATATCAATTTATATTCACACTATTTAATACAAATATATAGCTTTATTAAAACAATTTCGTGGGGTAAAAAAAGAAAAAAAAAAGGTTAGAGTGAAAGTGCAAAATGGGCAGGCAGAATCAAGAATTTCAGAGTAAGGAGATTGTGAATGGGCCCCACCGATGGGAATCTCAGTAACAAACTCCCAGCTCTGCTGCTGCTCTGGCAGATTGGAAAATCTCAGAGAGAGAGAGAGAGAGAGAGAGCAAATTAAAGATACAATTCTCTCTCACCTCCACAGATATCATATTTGCAGTTTCAGTCCATAATAGTCTGAAGGCAAAGAGACGCAGAGTTTTGGTCCAAAAATGTATCAAGACACAGTAAGCTGCAACTTTGACCCAAACCTTCTTCCCCCACCACCGCCGCCGCCGCCGCCACAACAACCGCAAGTTCTGATGGAAGAGCTTTCTTTTCATCACCATCACCAAAATCATCATTCCTCCATGGAGATGGAGCTCCAGAACGAACTTGGGTTCAATGTCGATAACCCATACAACACCACCACTGACCATGACACCAACATCAACAATTCCCATTTGGTGTCCTTTGATCACCCAACAAATTGGGACAACAACATTCACGGAGTCCATGATCAGATGCAGCAACAATTCCCAGATGGTACTACTTCTCCTACTTCTACTCCATACCCACAACCGCCTGACCTTCTCAACCTTTTCACCTTACCCAGATGCTCCCCCTCCTCTCTTCTTCAAAACTCATCCATCACCTTCACAAACACGCTCCCAAAAACCTCAACCTCTTTTGGGTTCCTCGGAGACCTGCCCAGCGCGGTTGACACCCCACTGGGGACGGCTTCTTCCGTTCTGTATGACCCACTTTTGCATTTGAACCTGCCTCCACAGCCGCCAATGTTCAGGGAACTGCATCAGTCTTTACCACATGGGTACACCTTGCCTGGCTCCGGAAATGGGTCTTTGTTCAGTAGCGGTGGCGATGAGAGGGAAGGGAGCGGAGGAGGGATTTACCCAGATCATGGCACTATTAATGCGTCTATATTTGAGAATGGAGTGATGGAGTTCTCCAGAGAAATGGGTTCTATTGGAAGGGGAAGAAATCTCAAAGGGTCCAAACACCTTGCCATTGATCGCGGTCGGAGACAGCAGTTGAATGACAAGTTCTTTACCTTGAGGAGTTTGATTCCCAACCCCACCAAGGTTTAATCATAAAATTCACAATTCCAAATCCCCTTCCAATTTTGATTTTAATGTGCCAGTTTTGTTTTTAATTTTCCAATTTTTGCCTCTGCTTTTTTGGCTTGGTTAATTTAATCTTGCCTAACATTTGTTGCTTGGGATACAAGAATGATAGAGCATCAATTGTGGGAGATGCGATTGGTTACATAAACGAGCTTCTGAGGACAGTGGACGAGCTCAAATTGTTGGTGGAGAAGAAAAGGCGTGGCAGAGAGAGGAGCAAGAGGCACAAGACTGAACAAGATGGTGGTGCCGGAGATGATGAGAACTGTAATGTGAAGTTTGAGCCTCGTGACCAGTCCTACAACAACGGTTCTCTGAGGAGCTCGTGGCTGCAAAGGAAATCCAAAGACACCGAGGTCGATATCCGCATTATCCACGACGAGGTTACCATCAAACTGGTGCAGAGAAGAAGATCAACCTGTTGCTGTCTGTGTCCAGGCTTCTTGATGAGCTGCAGCTTGATCTTCATCATGTTGCTGGTGGCCACATTGGCAATTCCTACAGCTTCTTGTTCAATACCAAGGTTAGCTTTTTTCACTAGTCCGCCATTAGTCTCACTTTTTTCTCTTTTGACAAAACGATATTCTAAACTTGTCTAATATACGAGAAGGAGAATTCAAATTTGTGTGCAATGAGGCGAACACACTTGACCAACTGTGTCCTAATTCACTTAGTTTCGTTTTAATTAATAGGGGGTTTGGTTTTAATTTTGCAGATGTATGAAGGGTCTTGTTTGTATGCAAGTGCTATTGCTGGCAAGTTCATTGAGGTTCTGGACAGACAATATTCAGCAGTTCCACCTACCAGCAGTTATTAGGAACGCATTTGATGGTCATTGAATTAATATTAAGTCTTCTAAATAGTATCATTTTCTTGTGTTGGTTTTACTAAATGATTCTGAATACTTTAAATGCAATTCAATATATAACTAGTATCATTCCAATTGTTTGGAGATGATTTCTAAATTATATTAATTTCGTATAAGCTCTTTACTAGCTAGTTTAGTTGAATTACGATTAAACTAATTTGATTACTAAATTGTCAATGTTTCAAACAGATTATTTTGGTTTAAAGTTGAATATAAACTTGATATTCAGGCCTTATTAGGGGTAGATGATTGAATTGGAAAGAATAAATCATTATTAGTCTTTGAATAGAAGTGAATGAATAATACATTACAAGGACGAATTCCTTACATGCTAACTCAAAAAGTTAAGGTTTTATCATAAAACTAATTACCAATATCAGGAGTAGTCAAATTACTTATAAGATCACGCAATGTCCTTATTTCTTTGATGTGGGATTGATACTCTCAAGACGCCCCCTCAAGTGTGGCAAATTTTCAAGCCTAACATGTGAACAACACAAATGGGTTGATGTGGAGTACGTGTAGCCGTTAGGCTTCACACATGAGTCTACAACCTGCTATGATATGATGAAGAAAGTTGAGATTCCACCATAATTCCAATTGGCAATATAAAGAGTAGCTCAATTACTTATAAACATATGCAAGGTTCCTTTTTTCCTCAACGTGAGATTGATACACTCAACACAAACAATACATTACAAGCAACTGGTTTGATGATATAGCAAATGTTACAAGTATCAACTGTTTACATACTAATGTATTTACTTGTACATAGTTTTCGGTAGTTTCTTTTTTGGTCTAATTAATATGACTCGTTTGAAAATATACTTTCAAATTGGTTGAAAGTGCTTTTAGTTAAAATGTTTTTTTTATTTCCAAAAGTAATTAGAATGCTTTCTGTAAGAATCACCAGTTATGTGCTAAACAAAAATTGCATGAAAAATATATTTCGTGTTATCAATGGAATCAAACTAGAAAAACCTTCTAATCAAACATTTTAACAAAGTGTTTGATGTGCATTCAACTAAAATGACATTGTACAATTTAGACCGGCACACATTTGCATCTCCCCATCAGTACACAAAAGATGGAAAGGGATCCTCTCCAGATCCCTTCTACAAAATTCACCCAATCAATGAATCTGGATTCTTGAAATTTGATCAAATGGCTAAAAACAGGGGGCATCTTTAAAAGTTATAATAACTTTAGTTGTTGGATCAAAGTTCAAGGGTTCAAATTCATTGATTGGGTGGATTTGGTGGAAGGGCTATGGAGAGGATTCATTTCCACAAAAGATGAAAATGGAAGTATCATTGCATCAATTAAAAAAAGAGTAAATTGTAGCAATGGTCCCTCAATTTTAATGCAATTAGAGCAATGATCTCTTAACTAAAATTTCATTACCATTGGTCCCTCAACTCATCAAAACGTGCAGTTATGACCTTTTTCGTCAACTTCAGTTAGAACTTCTGTCAAAATGGTCCTGCACAACACTGACGACCTCGTTGATGCTGCTGACTACTCTCTCTCCCTCTTGAGGAAGGGGGAATTACCCAAGTACATTCAATGAGTAAGTTTCTGTTTCTTGTGGATTTTCACCCGAATTGGAGCTTGACCCACTTGGGATTTGGTGTCCAATTGTTGAATTCAATTGAGTTTTTGGGGAATGGTTATCATTCGATGCATTTAATTAATAGAAGAAATTGATTGCTTTCTGCATTTTGTTGGAAGTTTTTATGCGCTTTCAGTGATTGATTTACTTATGTGATCTCAGTTAGTTTTAGTATTGCAATTGTCCACGTTAAATGATATTTGGTTATTTGGAAAGTCGGTATTTCGGGTTTTAGTTTTGAAGTCGATTAATTAGTGAAATGTATTATCTTTTGTGGTGGGTTAAGGCAGGAGAAAAGAGTGAGGTTTTAGAGATTAGTATATAAAATTCATTGATTACTTCTTAAACTGGGATAAAAATCTTTGTCCATGCTGCAGACTGCAGAATGTGTAGTTGGTATCTGATGCCGGTATCGGTATACATAGTTAGGGTTGTATAGATTTCGTATTTGGCTAACATATCCCAAAAGCATCAAATTCTTCCCTGCATATGATTTATGGAAGTTGGCATCTTCCAAGTTCTATTGTCAATGTTTGGTTTTGCATGTCTAGTTCTGGTTTTGTGTTTTTATTTTGTGGTTTTTTCTGAATACCGTTAGCATTTGGACTAGGAAGACTTGGAAAGAGACTCTAGGAAAAGACTTGAACTACTTGGATCTAACGGAAGACATGGTGCAAAACCGAGCACGGTGACGTTTTAAGATTCATATAGCTGACCCCACTTAATGGGATAAGGCTTTGTTGTTGTTGTTCTATCAAATGCTTATGTTGTCACAAATTGTGAACAGCTCGACGGTCCACATCATTGTTTGAACACTATAAATAGTGGGAGGATCGACCTATGTGAGTTTGTTACATATAGTTTAAGTTGCAAGTTAACGAGTCTTATAATTGATTAACAAATGTGGTATAGATGGAATTTTTACAGTATTAAATCATTAGAGAAAATGACATAAACCATCACATCCTTTCTTGCTTGATGTCATACTTGAAGTTGAAGGCGTTGATGCTACTGTAAAAACCATCGTCCAAGTCATCAGTAACATGCACTTGATCGTTGTTAGCAGTGTCGCGACGGGAGTAGGAGAAGGGAACATCACATGAAGCCTTGGCGGCGAGCAGCCTCACCTTCACCACACTCATTGCCGGCACACCAACCATGCAAACAGTCTCCACTTGAGTTTCGGATGTCTCAGTTTCTCCCCACTGGACCTCTCCTTTAAACTCACCCCCTGAAATCTCAAACTTCATCGCTCCGTTGTCACCTCCCGTGATTTGTGGAACGCCATCGGCTTCAACGTTGGTTTTGGGCTTCATCGAGTAAACTCTACTGATATCATTCCAACTGCAAATATTCGACTTCTGTAGAGCAACTTGAGTATTACGTTTGTGGTTTCTTGGGTGAAGTTGACGGCTTCTCCGGCGGCAATTACCGTGTCATTTTGGTAATTGTAGATCCGGGCATGGGCGAGGCGGTAACTGACATTGTAGATGGTCCTTGACTTAACAGGTTCTTCAACGTGGAGGTGTGAATAAACGGAGAGATTAGAGACGTTGGCGCACATACCAGTAATATCAGTAATCCCGCTTGTGTGTCTCTTGCAGTACTTGTTGTTCCCTACGTTCATGAGAGCTATGGCTTTGTCAGTAAAGCTTGAACGCCCGATACAATGTGTCTTGTAGTTTTTGACTCGGGTGGTCGGGTTAAACGCGTCCGGCCAAATCCACTCGTCTTTGGCGAGTCTCCAGTATCTTCCGAAGAAACTGTTTTTTATTTGTAAGGTTCCGTTGGGGTTTCTGAAGATCTCATTCGCCGCAACCGGATCACATGCGTCATGACCATCAAATTGGAGATACGGCCCATCTTCTTCGTCGCCTCTGTTGTGCATATCGTTGTCGTCGACCATATTGGCTGTGAGGTAGTTACCATCGTCTCCCTTGAACACCACATGTTTAGGCAATATCACCAGCGATTCCCAATTGACGACAGTGCACACATCGTGCGACTCTTCATTGTTAGGATCGTCTGCTGCGGTTGAACCTCTATAAAGTACTAAGGCGTCGGAGCTGCTGTGTAACGCAGCGTAACATCCGAGATGGACATGCCGAAATTGGACCACCTGACTATCAATATCATCACCATTACTATTATTTTTATTTTTATTATTACTGTTATTATTATTATCATTACTATTATCATCGTCCTTGTCCACCGGATCTACAGTAGACCGGCTCGAACAAGGTACATGAGGGCTTTGATTTGTCTTCCTCGGGTTCGTCAGCCCCTGCAACAATCAAAACCTCGTTATCGAACCTATGCGTTCCCGTCACGCTAACCCAATATTTATTATTGTAACAACATCTAATGTGGACTAGTCCCTTATTCCCTCCATTCTTTGCCGTCTCCACTTCGTACTTTGCGTAATGGCTGCCGGCCTCCTCTTCGGAGAATTTGAGAAACCCGGCTGGTGCGTTCTCCTCTCCATCATCTTTTATGTAGCGCAAGAATTTTCTGTTGTGGTTTGATTTCACGACCACAAACCTTGGCAATGTCATTCGATCTGATTTATCTCCCTCTCAGTGTATATCTTAATAGATGTCTAGTTCGCAACATGCTTGTCATATATATAGGTTTTTTTCACTAAAATTAGTCACCATGAATATTGCACTCATTCCACACCGTGAATTTCAAGAGCTTATTGCTTCATGCATGCATGGCATGGTACGTAGTGGTGTCCCATATTGATCGACGCTTGTATTGGGCTTTCTTATATATATAGAGAAAATTTTGCACGAATGGTAAGGCTTCTTCCAGGTGGCTGTCTCAAAGCCAAGCCTGAGATTTTTTGAAATTTTTATGTTGTTAAAATTATAGGCAAAGTCTGCTTCCAGTTGTTTGTTTCATTAAGAACTTCATGCTCGTCCTCCCATGACAAAGTAGTGGCTGGAGGGTTTGGAGGAGGGTTGGAATTGGGACACTAGTACAAAAACATGTTTGCGCGACGAAAACTTGCGCGACGCAGCTAAATGCGTCGCGCAAAGTATGTTTGCGTGACGTTAAACACAAAACAGTATTGCGCGACGCCAATCTTCGTCGCGCAAAGTGCAGTCGCGCAAACGCCATTTGCGCGACGTTTTGTACGTCCCGTAAGATTTTGGCGCTAAAGAAAGTAAGTTTTACCGCTTTTTCTGTTGACTTTGCGTGACGCAGGGCTGCGTGAGTCGCGCAAAACATCTTTGCGTGACGTATGTGGCGTCGCGCAAAACAGCTTTGCGCGACGTATGTGCACGTGCGTCGCGCAAAGGAGTTAAAACTACCGTTAAATCGTTATTTTTCATTTATAACCGTCGAAAAGTTTTGTCGCGTTACTTGATCGCTAAATGTTTTTTTTTTCCTATTTTTGGCGTATGCGATCTCGAAGCATATACAAACAAGTTTGACGGTTGGATCGTTGAAACTAGTTTCGTACAATGTGTTTCCCATCAAAATGGTAGATTTACTAACACTTAGAGTTTATTAATACTTTCATTAACTATAACATAAGATTTTGTGGTATCCACTTGTGTAAATACTTTAAATTGATGATCGAATTAGTTCATTGTATTCATATAGGGTCAAGGAGTGTAGCTGTAAAAAATCATCAAAATCGGAGTTAAAACTACCGTTAAATCGTTATTTTTCATTTATAACCGTCGAAAAGTTTTGTCGCGTTACTTGATCTCTAAATGTTTTTTTTTTTCCTATTTTTGGCGTATGCGATCTCGAAGCATATACAAACAAGTTTGACGGTTGGATCGTTGAAACTAGTTTCGTACAATGTGTTTCCCATCAAAATGGTAGATTTACTAACACTTAGAGTTTATTAATACTTTCATTAACTATAACATAAGATTTTGTGGTATCCACTTGTGTAAATACTTTAAATTGATGATCGAATTAGTTCATTGTATTCATATAGGGTCAAGGAGTGTAGCTGTAAAAAATCATCAAAATCGGAGTTAGAACTACCGTTAAATCGTTATTTTTCATTTATAACCGTCGAAAAGTTTCGTCGTGCAAAGTGCAGTCGCGCAAACGCCATTTGCGCGACGTTTTGTACGTCCCGCAAGATTTTGGCGCTAAAGAAAGTAAGTTTTACCGCTTTTTCTGTTGACTTTGCGTGACGCAGGGCTGCGTGAGTCGCGCAAAACATCTTTGCGTGACGTATGTGGCGTCGCGCAAAACAGCTTTGCACGACGTATGTGCACGTGCGTCGCGCAAAGGAGTTAAAACTATCGTTAAATCGTTATTTTTCATTTATAGCCGTCGAAAAGTATTGTCGCGTTACTTGATCGCTAAATGTTTTTTTTCCCTATTTTTGGCGTATGCGATCTCGAAGCATATACAAACAAGTTTGACGGTTGGATTGTTGAAACTAGTTTCGTACAATGTGTTTCCCATCAAAATGGTAGATTTACTAACACTTAGAGTTTATTAATACTTTCATTAACTATAACATAAGATTTTGTGGTATCCACTTGTGTAAATACTTTAAATTGATGATCGAATTAGTTCATTGTATTCATATAGGGTCAAGGAGTGTAGCTGTAAAAACTCATCAAAATCGGAGTTAAAACTACCGTTAAATCGTTATTTTTCATTTATAACCGTCGAAAAGTTTTGTCGCGTTACTTGATCTCTAAATGTTTTTTTTTTCCTATTTTTGGCGTATGCGATCTCGAAGCATATACAAACAAGTTTGACGGTTGGATCGTTGAAACTAGTTTCGTACAATGTGTTTCCCATCAAAATGGTAGATTTATTAACACTTAGAGTTTATTAATACTTTCATTAACTATAACATAAGATTTTGTGGTATCCACTTGTGTAAATACTTTAAATTGATGATCGAATTAGTTCATTATATTCATATAGGGTCAAGGAGTGTAGCTGTAAAATTACATTTGATCTACAAGTGTAAATACTCAATCAAAATTACATTTGATCTACAAGTGCTTGGACTGACATTTTTCTTATACAATGAAGGCGTGAAATATGGGCATGATCTTGGTGATTCCACAGGCTTACTCTTGAACTGGGCTGGAGGATTCTTTTGGTCTCCCCCGAAGGTCTGAGCTTACTCCTTTTATCTGTTTCTTTGTTCAATCTCTCCAATTCGTATTGAAGAGGGTTAGAGGATAGCTCAGCATATGCAGTTGTTGCTTGTCTCCCCATGCTTCGATCTACCGTTTCCTCCTGGCTCTGTTCTCCAGGCATCTGGTATCTTCTTTGGGGAAGAAGAAAAAATTGAGTATTTCGAGAGGCTTTGCTGGGAGTGCGCCCTCAAAGGTGAGGCTTCATCTTGAGTTTTTCCACAGGCTACTTTTGGTTTCCTCCGATCGTTGATTTTCCTTTGTGCTACTCTTGAACTGGGCAGCAGGATTCTTTTGGTCTCCCCCGAAGGTCTGAGCTTCCTCCTCTTATCTGTTTCTTTGTTCAATCTCTCCAATTCGTATTGAAGAGGGTTAGAGGATAGCTCAGCATATGCTAGGTAAACAACCAGGGAATAGAGTGCAGGTAGACTCCAAGTGCCGGCTGATTGCTTCTTTCACTTTGCCATGCAAGTAATATCAAGGGCAAAGGAAAAGATAGGGAAAGAGCATGATATGAGATACCTTTGCTTTCGCCCTTGATGATATGAGATACCTTTGCTTTCGAAAAAGCGGTGAATGAATCAGCACATGTATTTGTTGTGCTGCTTCCTCCTGGGTCATCTGTACTCCAGGCATCTGGTATCATCTTTGGGGAAGAAGAAAGAATTGAATGTTTCGAAAGGCTTTGCTGGGAGTGCGCCCTCAGAGGTGAGGAAGAGTTGGGCATTTTCTTCAGGTTTGCCTTGCCATAAAAGATGAAAGTTGACATATATAGGGATTTCCCAATAGCAAGTGGTGGTACTGTTCTTTTACCCTTGTCGAGAAACGTTTTGATCCCGCAAATCCGGCTTTTTGGAATAGTGACGACTCTTCGATCTTTGAAGACGCCTCTTCGATAAAGCTGCACGCGTTTTCTGAAAAGCAGATAAAGCGTCGCCGAACTTTGCGCTTGTCGGCTAAAGACGTGTAGTTGCGATGATGGCCTCCACGTGTTGAACGCGTTTTCTGAAAAGCCGAGGGAGCGTTGCCTTGGCTAAATCCGAACTTTACGCATGAACTTCCGGCTTTTTGAATCGGTGGACGCGTTGCCTTGGCTTTTATAGAGCTATCGATCACCGCCAACTTACACACTCTGAAGATTTCCCATTCTTGAAACTCGTCTCCGGCCCTTTGAAAATCTACTCCGTCCACCCCTTCTCTTTTAACTTCTTGAAAAATGGCTAACTCATCTAACCCATCGAACATTTGCTTAGATTTGAGTCTGAGCAATGATCCGGTTGCGCCTCATCAGGGTAAGGTATGGTGCCCGTCTTTCTTATCTTTTCATGGCCCTCTTACAGATGAGGACTCTGTGATGACGGATCCAACAACGGCTACGATAGTGGCTCGGAACCTCCTCACTCCTAAAGATAGTCAGCTGCTTTCTGGACGGTCCGATGAGTTGGCCGTTCAAGAGTCCTTGGCTCTTAGCGTTCAGTGCGCTGGCTCTGTGTCCAACATGGGCCAACGCCTTCTTGCTCGTTCCCGTCAGGTTGAATCCTTGATGGCGGAGGTGGAGAGTCTTAAACAGGAGATCAAACAGCTGAAGTACGAGAACCGAAGTTTGCACGTGCTTGCCAACAATTATTCTACAGGCATGAAGAGGAAGCTTGATGAGCTTGATGACCGTCAAAGGCTTGCAGCTTTCTTCCAGAGGCACCTCTTTCCTGGGTCATCCAGCGTTCCACCAAGGTTTGGGGCCTTGAATGATCTATCTTCGGTGCCTCCCGCTCATATGCCTCCCGCTCCGATGCCTCCTGCTCCGATGGCTCCTGCTCTGATGGCTCTTGCTCCGATGGCTCCTACTCCGATGCCTCCACGTTGTGGGGCCTCACGTACACAACCCTTGTGAAGGCTCCATCTTTTCTGCCATTTTTTTTTTTTTTTTTTTTTTTTTGTAATCACTCGGAAATCAATGATCAAGCTTTATTCACTGTATTGGGTTGCCTCCCAAGTAGCGCTTTCTTTTACGTCTTGCAGCCGGACGAAGAACCCAATCACTTCAAATTGGAGAACCCAATCACTTCAAATTGGAGAACCCAATGAACAAGCTTTGTTTTATTACGTCTTGTGAAGGCTCCATCTTTCTCTAAGTTTCTAACACTTATCAATATGCATTTGAACAAATCTTGTATGCAGATAATATAGTTAAGTGAAAAATAAAATTAAGCTTTTCAAGGTGTCCCCATTTGTTCACGTAACATCATTAGGTAAAACAGCAGAGAATAAAGTGTCCCCATTTGTTCACATAACATCATTAGGTAAAACATCATTAGGTGTCCCCATTTGTTCACATAACATAATTAAACATGGACTATTTTCGATTCTTTCTGAGAGTTGAATGAGATCTGGGCAGTCACTTAAATTCAGGGTAGCTGTATAAA